GTGTGTGTGTGTTTGTACACTAAAACTCTTTTACTCCTTAAATATTGTGCATATATACATACATTATATTGATCTTGAGAATCAAGGCCACACTACAGTGTAAAACCCTTGTCAAATCGTCGGTCTCCTAGCTGGTCCTCCCTGTCAATGCCTCCTGCCCACCGGCGGCTTTGTGGAGCCACGGTATAACATGCCATGTCCTGCCATTGTCACTTCCCGGCTCTTTTGGGCGACGCGAGAGACGAAATCGTCTTGGGGACTTTTTGGTCGTTCATTCCGTCATTTAAAAAAATGTGGTGTGGAAGGAAAGAGGGAAAATAAAGGGGGGGGGGGAAGAGAAGAACCACTCACCTATTCAACATGTTGGTGCCAAGTTGGGACTGCATGATTTTACTTGTCCATATAAGCCGTGTTCGTTTTTGATACGTTCGCCGCAGAGTTGAGAGTGGTATATTTTAACCTGAATAACAAAATCAATATTAATAAGGCTTATGCAGTAAGATATGATTATCATAATAATATTATGATAATGATGATGATTCACAAACTATTCATGGGGCACCTACAGGGTTAAATTTAGTTGGTATTTTTTTCCAACAAATTATTGCTTGGCTGGGTGTGGGGCCTCTTGTGTATATGAGCGTGCCCTCGATGCACTATTGTGTTCTGACACTGCGGATCGCACCTTTATCGCCCGAACCTGGGGGCAGAAATGGGATGTGAAGTGAGGAATAAACGGGCGATTTTACAGTTGGGGGGTTTCTGTTGTTCGTAGACGGTTGCGCTAACAGTGGCAAATTACAGTTCCCTAACACCAAGCTCTAGTTTAGACTGACATTGTATAGTTTGGCCATTTGAGGCCTCTGTCGATTTCTTCTCTGATATCAGCTCTTGAAGATGGATATTCTCAAGTTTACTTCAAAGAGTGCTTGAAATGTGGGTGGTCAGGGGGCAGCTCCGGGCGGACTATTCTATTGTTATGTTTGTCAGTCTGTGTGCTGTAAACTAATCCTATACATTTTCGTTTTCGTTTCCTGTGTGTTGCGGCGCTAAGGGGTAGTCATGGTTTTGATGTGCTTTTTTTCATTCAGAAAATGCCTTACAGTACACTTTTTCCCGGCTGATTTAGCCAATGTTAATGTCAACCGGATTAACTTTGATTCTTCCCGGTTAAACAAATGCTAAAGTGAGGGATTATTGAGGACTATTGGAAGAACTTGCCTTTTGTTGTGAAGTTATCCAGCGTAACAAAATAATGGTTTGCGCTTTGATGTTTAGTTTGAGTAAGGTTAGCCATAGAGTCAGGGCATTGTCGGAAATAGCGTGAGAGACGCTGGCCGCTGAAGTCTGAAGTGTGAGTCGTGG